TTTTTTTTTTTCTTTTTTCTGCTTTTTCTCCTCAAATCACCCCAGTACATAGTTTTGTATTTTCAGTTGTGGGTCCTTCTAGTTGTGGCATGTGGGACGCCACTTCAGCATGGCCTGATGAGCAGCGCCAAGTCCGTGCCTAGGATCCGAACCGGCGAAACCCTGGGCCGCCAAAGCGGAGCGCACGAACTTAACCACTGGGCCACGGGGCCGGCCCCAGACTAACAGTTTGGAACTTCAAGACAGTCCGGGTCCAGTGAGCAGCATCCTCAGAATTCTGCTTTGGGGCAGTATTTTGGCTGCAAGGAGGTGGACCCAGAGTCTGGGGAACTTCTCTTAATGTCTGTCAATAACTGGTATAAGCTTAGAATGTATGTTTCTGGAGGGAAGTGCTGATGGGGATTATGGGAAGGAACTAGAAAAAGAAGAACGAGACATATAGACAGACCAGTGGAATAGAATAGAGAGTCCAGAAATACGCCCTTATATTTATGCTGAACTGATTTTTGAAGAGGGTGTCAAGACAATTCAATGAGAAAAAGTCCTTCCAGGAACGGCACTAGGATATCTGTTAGCCATACACCAAAGAATGAAGTTGGACCCTTAACAAACACCATATACACAAAAATTCAAAATGATCATAGGCCTAAATAGAAGAGCTTAAACGGTTAGAAGGAAACACAGGAGTAAATCTTCAGGACCTTGGATAAAACAGTTTCTTAGCTATGACGCCTCAAACAGAAGCGACAGAAGAAAAATTCAAACATTGGACTTCATCTAAATTTAAAATTTCTGTGCTTTAAAGGACGCCATCAAAAAAGTGAAAAGACTACTGACAGACGGAAATAGAGCAAATCATGACTTCATAAGAGAGTTGTATTTAAAATATACAAAGAACACTTACAACTCAATAATAAAAAGAAAATCCAATTTTTTAAATGAGCCAAGGCTCTGAATGGACACCTGGCCGAGGAAGCTCTGCGAATGGCCAACAAGCAAACGAAAGGATGGTCAGCATCATTACTCATCAGGAAGAAGTGGATGAACCACGGTGAGATCCTGCTTCACACCACTAGGATGGCTGTAAGCCAGAGGACGGACAATAACGAGACGCGGGTGGAGAAATTGGAACCTTTGTTACCTTGCGGGTGGGGATAGAAAATGGTGCAGCTGCTTTGGAAAACAGTCTGGCGTTTCCTGGAAGAGTTTAGCATGGAGTTACTGTATCTATTTGTGGGTGTATACCCTAGAGAATTAGGAACGTATGTGCACAAAAAGACTTGTACGTGAATATTTAGAGTAGTGTTGTACATAATAGACAAGAAGTGAAAACAACCCAAAGTCCATCCACTGGGGAATGGATAAAGAACACGTGATACAGGGGCTGGCCCCGTGGCCGAGTGGTTAAGTTCGCGCGCTCCGCTGCAGGCAGCCCAGTGTTTCGTTGGTTCGAATCCTGGGCGCGGACATGGCACTGCTCATTAAACCACGCTGAGGCAGCGTCCCACATGCCACAACTAGAAGGACACACAACAAAGAATATACAACTATGTACTGGGGGGCTTTGGGGAGAAAAAGGAAAAAATAAAATCTTTAAAAAAAAAAAAAAAAAGAACACGTGATACAGATATCAGTTCAATGGAATATTATTCAGCCATACGCCCCGGAAGTAGAGCGCCGCCGCCGCCGAGGCCCCGCCCCCCGACCCGGAAGGTAAACACGGGCAGCGCCGGCCGAGCGGCGACCCCAGCGGGGGCACGCAGCAGTCCGTGAGTCCCCGGGCGCCTCCGCGCCCTCCTGGATCCCTCCTTCGGGGAGTTAGATAGTGAACGCGGCCAGAGACGGACATGCATTGTTTCAGAGAGCGCTAGATGCTGAGAAACGAACTTTTTGAAAAGTAATGGGCCAGAGCGTGGGGACACGGGAGCTAGGCAGTCCCGGAGGGCGTAAGGAGACGACTTTAGAGCTGAGACCTGGATGGTAAGAGGGGGACGGCCCGGGAAGACCCGCAGGAAAGGTGTTCCAGAAGGAACCTGCCTGGAGGGGGAGGAGGAGTGAGGAACGCGTGGTGGGAGAGAGGAGGTTGGAGAGGCGGTGGCCTGGCGGGCCTTGGTAAGCAGTGTGGACGATTCTACCCGACTCTGAGTAGGTAAGGGAATGGGAAGCCCTTGCGAGAAGTTCAGTAGAGCGGCACGATCTGAATTAGGTTTTAAGACGATTACCCATCTTCCTGGGTTGAGAGTGAACTGTAGTGGGGCAGGGTAAAGAAAGGGCAGGTGGTTAGGGGGCCCTTGCAGTTGTCCAGCAAGAGATAATAGTGCCTGGGGTAGGGTGGTGGCAGTGGAGGTGAAGTTGGCTGGATCCTGGGCGAACAGGCGTTCACAACAATCGTATGAAGTACAGTTTACTGCCCCATTTTACAGATGAGGGGAAAGGGGGACCCAGAAAGGTTAAAAAGAGCATTTTCCCAATTTGTTTCACCTGCAACCCAGAGTCAAAAAATGTATTTACATCACAACCCAGGACACACAGGCATAAGTTGAAGGAGATGTTAAAACGGTTCTGTAGGTAATATATTCTCTTCTACTTTTCTTTTTTGTTATTGTTCTGAATGCTGACTGAGTCTTGATCCACAGTTGAAAACACTGAGTTGAGGACCAGGCCACACTGGGAAATGGAGCCAGAATTCCAGCCCAGTTCTGAGAGACCCACAGCCTCATGATCTTCCGACTTCCTTGCCTCTCTCAACATGTAGTCTCCATTCCCCGGGAATTTACCTTTTGGACTCAGCAGAGGCCAAGGGCTCTTTGGAGGAGGATGCTCTGCCTCATTATTCCTAGTAGTGAAAAAGTGGGAAGCACTGAAGCCTGACTACAGAAGAAAAACTAAGTAGATCATGGCCCCCCTCACGGGGAATTTCTTGCAATAGTTGAAAATGCTAATTATATAGATTATGGAAATACAGGGAAAAGCCAATGATAAGACGTTAAGTTTTTTGTTTTTTTTTTTTAAAGATTTTATTTTTTCCTTTTTCTCCCCAAAGCCCCCCAGTACATAGTTGTGTATTCTTCGTTGTGGGTTCTTCTAGTTGTGGCATGTGGGATGCTGCCTCAGCGTGGTCTGATGAGCAGGGCCATGTCCGCGCCCAGGATTCGAACTAACGAAACACTGGGCCACCTGCAGCGGAGCGCGCGAACGTAACCACTCGGCCACGGAGCCAGCCCCAATAAGACGTTAAGTTTTAAAAAGCCCCATGCAAAATGGTCTGTACACCACGATTACAACTGTGTCAAAATACAACCATGCGGGGCTGGCCCTGTGGCCGAGTGGTTAAGTTCGCGCGCTCCGCTTCAGTGGCCCAGGATTTCGCCAGTTTGGATCCTGGGCACAGACATGGCACTGCTCATCAGGCCATGCTGAGGCGGCATCCCACATGCCACAACCAGAGGCACTCAAAAACTAGAAGATACAACTATGTACTGGGGGGCTTTGGGGAGAAGAATAAAAAAAAAGAAAATTGGCAACAGTTGTTAGCTCAGGTGCCAATCTTTAAAAAAAAAATACGACCATGTGAAGGGACCATGAGAGAACGTAAAAATGAGAATACTTGTGTGTTTGGTTGGTGGGGCTGTTTTTCCCATTTTCAAAATTATCCGTTACAGGTGTTAATTATTCTGGTTAAAGTGTGTCTGAGTCCAAACCCCGCCCCTGCACCCTCGATTTAGGTCAGCTACCGCTGTAACCTTTAGTAAGGCATCACAGACCTGCTCCATGGAGTTATTACGAGGATAATGTTTTATACCTTCTCGTAGCATCCTCTGCCTTTTCTTCATGGAACTTGAGGCAGGATAAGTTACTGAAATTGTAGTTTGTGTTTTAGGTTTTCTACCACCAGGCACCCCCTTTAAGTATTGTAATTCTTCCTGGAATTTTAGCCCGGAGGACCAAGAATCAAAAGTCTAACGTCAACAGCTCTTCTGGGCTTTTGAAAAATCTGAAGTCTTTGAGGAGATTGTACCAGAGGGTGAGGCGAGAAGAAGGGGGCCTGTGAGAAGCTAGGAGCAATATTCTCAGGCCGTGTAACAGGAAAGACGCGTGTGCCTGTCCTCAGAGAGCCTAGCCCTCAAACGGACTAATAAAAATCATTACCACAATGTAACTGACACACAGTACTTGTCATGAACCAGATACTTTTAGAGTAAAAAGTATATATAGGGTTGTAAATGTGCATATATGCACATACTCTTAATCCTTAAAATAACCTTTTAAGTAGATACTGTTATTATCCCCATTTTATAGATGGGGAAACTGAGGCATAGAGTAGTTAAGTAACTTTCTCACAGTCACCCAAGGGCTGTACTTCCTAGAGGCAGGGCCAGGATTCAAACCCAGGCAGTCTGGCTGCAAGAGCCAATACCTTAACCACTATACTGTGTTGTCTCCTGTGGCCCTTAAGGACCTGGAATGGAGCCATGATGGGCCCCAAATGGGTAAAAAGATTCCACCAAGGTTCTCCATATCCCAAACCTGACACAAAAGCCACCGAGCACCAGGACCCCGAGGGTCTGTGCTGTGGTGCCAGTGGGCATCTTAACAATGATCAAAGTCAGCAGATTACCAGAGGGCATCACCTGTTGCAAAGCCTTTTCATAGCACCCCAGGACCTTTGCATAACCCCAGGAAGGGAACCCTCCCCAATAATGAGAAAGATTGGAGCCCAAAGAGATTGGGGAACTCAGAAATGGAATTAAATTGATGTGAAGAGAAAAAAAGAATAGATCAGGATGTCTGGGTTTATATCCTGGCTCTGTTATCTTGCTATGACTAGTTTCTGTCATCATCCGTAAAGTGGAGATAATAATGGTCTGCTTACCTTGTGGTTTGTTGTATGCATTAAATGAGTTAGTGCACGTAAAGCACTTAGAATAATCCCTGGCTCATTAGTAAGGCTACATAAGTGTCAGCTATCGTTATTATTACCTGCATTGGGGTCTGAAAATGATACCTAGCTCACCTTTATCACAGTTGGCATTTGCACATTTATTTGTATGATTATAGTAATGCCTGATGCCTCTGTTAAGCTGGACGCTAGCTCACAAGGTCAGGAACCACCCATGCATTGCACACTGAATTAGTGTGGCTGACTCCAGGCTTGTCCTAGCTATGGAAGTACATAGGATAACCTTGCTTTCCTTTAACGATAAAGAGAAAAATCCAGTCTATCCTGAAATGCATATATGCGTGTATAGGAGAGAAGGGGTCTAGCCATAGAAATATGTGACTGTGGGATCTACACATTGCAGTGCCTTTTTTCAGTGAGTCAAGAATTTAATCATGAAACCAAGGAAGTTTCCATAGTCAAGCTCCCAACAATAAGACCAAGAAATAAAGCTAACATAAAGATTTTCCAGAATTAGAGGATAAAAAGCTATACCAGCAACTGGGGAGTATAGTCATCCTAAAGAGATCTAATGCATCATCCTTTCCTCTGACAAAAGATTTTCAAAGTAGCTCTACACCAGTCGAAAAGGTGAATTATCTAGTATAAATTGATTTCTCCATCTCTGTGACGCTAACAGCAACTGGCAGGCTATTGCAGTAGTCACTGGTTTTCGTGGTGACAAGAATGGTCGCGCCTTCCTCCATGGCCGGCAGTGGAAAGAAATGGTCAGAATCGACCTTTGGTTTGCTCTTGACGCAGTCTTCACAGGTACATTCTTCCACCGTGTACTCCAGGCCTCTCGGAAGAAGAACTTGAGCGTCGGTCCTGCTATCCTCCACGTCAGCCTCTGCCTCATTCTGCAGAGCCGACCCTGATGATGCAGAAACAGAAACGTCAACCTAAATTCCCCAGGGGGTGCGATTTGACAGTCTAGCAGTCCACCCCAGGACTCACAGCAGTGCAAGACAGATCTCTTCCTACAAGAGAAATGACGACGTCCTGCACCAGAAGTCACGCACCGATGGCCCGCAAGCCACATGGGGTTTGGAGACGTGCTTTGTCTAGGGCGTACGGTGTTTGTAGGTGCTTCTTTGTTTTATGTTGGCCCAAATTTAAAAATCAAGTGATTTCACAGACAAATCTAGATGACTGGCCTCTTTTTAAAAACAAAAAAGAAAAAAAATGTGGTCACACGGAGCTGACATTGCTACATGGAAACAGTTGGCTGGAGTTGACAGCACCTGTCTCCAGGTGGGGCGCGGGCTCCTCTGTCGCCGGAGCCTCCACCTGGCCCACCCCAATCATTTGTTACCTGCTTGGCCCTTGTAGGCATTGAGGTATTGGCCCTATTTTACACATGTGAAATGACAAATTGGCATATGTTACAGCACACCGAGATCAGCCCGTGAGTGACACTTTAGAATTCAAAGTAAAGAGCCTTCTCTTACACAGCATTTTGTGGCAGATTAAATTTTTTTCAATGAATCTCTTGTGATCACATAAGGAAGGACTCTCCATTGTATCCCCATTGTACACTTGTAAGTTTTACTACTTCCCAGGCCCTTCCACAGAGTAACTCCATCTTCCAAAATGTCACGCTTAAAGTCACTCCCCACCTGTCTCTCAGACCCCAGGTAAAAGACTAAATTATATGGTTCAGCCATCTGCCTCTCCTTACTTCACTAGAAAGCAAATGAGGTGGATGCTTGACAGATTATACACAGAAAATACATGCATAAAGAAATGGGACGATGGCTGCAGAGTGTTTGGGAATCGGATCATGGGCAAAAGTGATGCAGAAATATTTTTATCTTGAGAAGCCCTTAAGTAGAACATTTACTTCCCTGGCACTGGTTCTCTACTGCTTAATAAAAATAACATTTGAGGGGCCGGCCCTGTAGCGCAGCGCTTAAGTGTGCACGTTCTGCTTCGGCGGCCCGGGGTTCACAGGTTCAGATCCTGGATGCAGACGTGGCACCACTTGGCAAGCCATTCTGTTGTAGGCATCCCAGATAGAAAGTAGAGGAAGATGAGCACGGATGTTAGCTCAGGGCCAGTCTTCCTCAGCAAAAAGAGGAGGATTGGCAGCAGATGTTAGCTCAGGGCTAGTCTTCCTCAAAAAAATAAAAATAATATTTGAGGTGCTTGCTCAAATAATCCAGGAGCAACTGGTTATTCGTTTCTAACATTTTTCTGCAGTAAAATATTCACCCAAGCAAACAGCACTTATGTTTGTATTAAAAATGTGGCTGTGGATCTTGACCTGGTTAGCAGTTTCTGATACCGTGACATTTAATCAATGTGCCAACTTTGGTCAAAGAGATGGATGTTTCCGGAGGAAGCCTCAGTACTTCAAAAGAATAATTACCAAAGGAAGAATGTGAGGGCAGGCTGAACTTGCAGGACACCTGCAAAGAAGGTGTCACCACCAGAAAGAAGACAGCTCGCTTCTTCCAAGTTCGTTTAACCTAACTGTCCTCTAATGCTCCCGAAAGGGCTCTAGCGGAATGAAATATGCAGTGTGAAAAAGGAAAAGGAAGTGAAACTCACAATAGCCACCCCTCGGAAATAGATTTCAAAGATGGACCTTCAAACCAACCTGTGTCTTTAAATTCGTCCTTTAATGGTTCTGAGTTCATCTTCCTTAGCAAGAACATCAACACGAAAACTGTCAAAGAAACTATCAAGCTCAGGCCCAAGCAGGTCCAGAGAATCGCGTTTGTTCCTTTCACTGAATTAAGAGAACATCAGAGAGATAATGAACTGATAACATCATATCCACATTAAGTAAAGATTGTTTGTCATCCAATTCCCCTAATCCAACCACATTGACTTTTAAATTCTAAATAACACTTAATTAGAAGAGTTGATAAAGTCTGTGTTGCTAACAGTGCTGCATAAAACTGAGTTCAATTCTGAATAACTACTTTTGTTCCTGTTGGCATTTAAATAATTGCCTTGTTTCCTTTCTCTTTTTGATTTAGGAAATCTCACCATCTTCCCCGTAATGTCTGTTCTTTAAATAAACAAATCGTCAATACAGAGAGCACACTTCACACTAATGAGTAATTGTTCAAGCAGTATTACTTACTTGCATCACAGTAACGCTCACACACTAGAGGAGGGGTGTTAGGACATCGAAGGAGACACGGTTTGCAAGCATTAAGCAATCTGTCAAAATACTCATTTGGGACGCACTGCTGAGCCATCTGGAACTCGATCACAAAAAGAAACAAGGAAACCACAGACAGCACAGCATGGAAGGACAAGTAGAATCTCGTCAAGAATTCCCCAGCAAATGTAGTGACAGCCGCTAGAATGTCGAGGAAAAAAAACCTTTACATGGATGACTTGGTTCTTATGGGGGCTGTCTTCCTGACCTGTGGCTAAGGATTTGAATACCAAATCTAATTCCAGTTTCTAAGTTTGAGGCTTGGGTAGGGTAAGAGATAGAGTGTAAATATCAATGGCAAACCATACACGAAACAGAAACTGCTTATTTATAGAGGAAATTTCTCAGCCAGGTGACAGTTGCAAGATGTAGACAAGCCTGAGGCCTCAAGGAGAAGGTTCAGCGGTTGATTCTGGAGCATCTATTTATGAGCTGTGCTGTGTGATAGGCCTGAGGGAAATAGATAAGACAAGATCTGTGCTCTTTAAGAACTTAAAATCTGACAGGGGAGATAGATGTGCACTCAAATAACCATAGCATATAGTAGGAACTGATAGAATGTGAGAGAGGGTAAGGGATGTCAGACACGCCTACCAGGTTTTGAACCTAGGAAGAATTCCAGAATTCTGACGGAAATAGGGAAGTCTAGGGAAAAGCCAGATTGGCAAGAGGGTTGTGGAAAAGATAGGTTTGGGGGATTATCATTATTATTATTATTATTATTATTATTATTATTATTATTAAAGTAATCCGAGTTCCATTGTTGGAAATTTAGAAAACACAGATAAGTAGATAAAAAAAACTATCCATAGTCCTAGCATCCAGAAGTAATCGCTGTTAACATTTTGTTGTATCACAGAGGTTGCAAACAGGCCTGATGTGTTCTGTTTGGCCAACCCCTGATACAGATCTTTCTGGAAGGGCTTCTGTAGGTAGATGGATGGATAGATACATAGATTTCTATAGTGCATTTTCCTTTTCACATAAATGGAATCACTTGCATTCACTTTTAACAATACTGAGTGAGATATAGAGAGATCGAGTCAGAATTGCAGGACTCAATTAAAATGCAAAGAAATGACGAAGTCCAAATTCAGTATAGTGGTTACCTCTCATGGGCAGGGAGAGTACAGAAGAGGCTTCCCCTGTATTGGTCACATTTTATTAAGCTGAATGGTGGAAACATTGGTATTTGGTGCGTTATTCTTTTATTGTATTTTTTGTTATTATTTCTGCCTTTTTGTATTTTTTAAATAGTACATAATAAATATTAAAATAATGATAATAAAATAAAAAGTGGGGATTAAAAACTTCTTTTGTTTAATGAAGAACTTGAGCCTAGAAGAGAGTTTGAACTTAGATATCCATCTAAACCTCACATTCCTCTGGGGTCCAGGCAGGGAGGTAAATGGGTGTGACTGCCTGGGTGAGACAGCCAGGAGCTCAAAGGGCTGGTCCAGCAGGTTCACCTCAGGCTCCTGCCAGATGGTGACCTTTGGAAGACAGGCAAAGGACACAGGAAGAGCATGATTAGGAAAATAGGAGGACAAAGATTGTCTCCCATAACAGCCAAGCAAGGAGAGAGTTTCAGCATGGGATGGGCAGTGGGGTCAAATTCTACAGAGAGGTCAGAGGTGATGCACTAAGGAAGAAGGTTGTTGGTGGCCTTCGAGTATGTCCGTGGGCAGATGCCATATTGCAGGTTTTTAAGGAGTGGAGAAAAAGTAGAGGCAGCCACTGTGGGCTGTGCCTGGGAAATCTGGTGGAAACCAGAAGAACAAAGCTTTGATAACTCTTGGAAGACAAAACACTATTGTTTCTTTGTTTGTTTCTTTTTTTTTCTTTTGGTGAGGAAGATTGGCCCTGAGCTAATATCTGTGCCCATCCTCCTCTGTTTTGTATGTGGGTCACTGCCACAGCATAGCTTAATGAGTGGTGTAGGTCCATGCTCGAGATCCAAATCTGCAAACCCCAGACCGCCAAAGCAGAACGCTCAAGCTTAACCACTACGCCACTGGGCAGCCCCTTGTTGTTTCTGACAGATGCACTTGCTCAGGTGCCTGAAGTCACATGTGCAGGGTGTTCACTGCTGCATTGTTTGTGTTCATAAAAGCCTTTCTGTCCGTGGGGGCTCACAGCCGGCAAAAAGAATGAGACAGATGTGTTCCAGTATGGATGATATGTCGCTAAGTGGAAAATGCAAGGTACTGGAGAGTGTATAATCTGCTCTGCTGTGTTAGAGACATACATGTAGGCTACACTGGAAAGAATCACAGGAGACCAGTAGTGTTACTATCCCTGGCTAGAGACAGGAAGTCTAGGGCAGGAAGAAGACTTACTTTTCATGAAAAGTCTTTGGTAGTTTGAATAATTTTTTTTAATACTTATTATTTTGAAATAAGAATCGTTTTTTTAAAGGGCGATGTCTTAGTCCATTCAGGCTGCTATACAAAATGCCATAGACTGGGTGGCTTCTGAACAACAGAAATTGATTTCTCACGGTTCCGGGGGCTGGGAAATCCAAGGTGAAGGCGCCGGCAGATTCAGCATCTGGTGAGAGCCCACTTCCTCGTTCAGAGACAGCTGTCCTCTCACTATAACCTCCCGTGGCAGAAGGGGCAAGAGAGCTCCCTGGGGTCTCTTTTATAAGGACACTAATCCCCCCTCATGACCTAATCACCTCCCAAATGCCCCACTTCCAGATACCATCACGTTAGGGGTTAGGTTTCCACATAGGAATTTTGGGGGACACAAACATTCAGTCTATAGGAGGAGGGGGGCTTGGAAGAGGAAAGAGAATCAAAGGAGGGTTTCCCAAGATGCACAGCGTAGACTAAGGGAAAAAGAGTAAAGGTTAAAGATGTCAGAGAGCCCACGGTGTGCGTGTGTCCTGAAAGCCAAGAGCACCGAGGCCGTAAGAGCAGCGAAGGCCTGCAGAGCTCGTTCTTAATCAGCTGGCATTCTCGGTGACTTGGGGAAGTCCAGGGGTGGCTCCATGCTCAGAGTGGTCAAGCAGACCCTTCTCGGGGGGTCGCCCAGCCTCTCAGGCTTGCAGGGTGGGCTCCCAGGGACCAGGGCTGAGGGACCTCATCTTGCCTCACCACCTCTTCCCACAAAGCACATTCTCTCTCCTGGTCACGTCAGGCTTGAGCACAGAGAGCGCAGGCCTGGAGCTGCAGCCCGTCGGCAGTCAGCCCAGCGAGGGTTTCGATGAAAGCCCTGGTTCCTCTCCTTCCCCAGGTGTGGTGCTCAGCTTGTTCAGCTCTGTCTCTGATTCTGTGGGGGAGCCCTGTAATCCTTCTAATAAAGTCCCTTTTTGGTGTAAGTTAGCCAGAGTCAGTTTTGGTTGGTTGCTAGCAATCGAAAAATAAAAATAAAATCCTTAACCACATTAACCAATTCTTAACCGATTCCTCCACTCATACCTGAAATGCTGACAACAGACACTGCTCGGGGTAAGCCATCCCTTCCCCTTTGCGCCTCGAGATGGGGGTGACTGGTGAATCCTGACCTCTGAGGGTCAATTGATTCTCCTCCATGACAGGTGAGGAGAGGGGAAAACACAGACTAGGAGGAGACAGCAATACATGTGCGAAAGATGTTGGGAGATGTCATACTAATCAGGACTCTTTCTCTAAGAAATGACGTAAAAAACTTGAGGAATTTCCTGGCTTTACAGTTGAGCAGTCCAATGGTAGAATCGGCTTTAGTGGATCAAACTTTGTCCAGGAGTGTCCTGGTTTCTCTCTGTCGCTTGGCTCAGCAATGCCGTCTTCTGGGTCTTAGCTCTATTCTCAGCTGCTCTTCTCATGGTCACAAGAGAGCTGCAGCACCTCCAGACCTCACACACTCATTCCTTTTAAACTCTCTCCTAAGTAATCCTTTCCCATAGTTTTAAACGTATTAACTTCCAAACCTATATATCCACTTCCAGCCTTGCCCCTGATATCCAGCCCTATCTACCAACTGCCTGCTTGATATCTCCACTTCAAAGTCTAGGAGGTGTCTCAAACTTCATTAAAGTGCAGTTGGGTTCTCCAAACGGGAGAGAGTGTGTTACTGAACCAGAGTGTGTTACTGGGCGTTTTTGCCGGCCGCCCAGAAAGCCAAACACCGAGACAATGAGATTGCAGCAGAGAGAGTTTACTCACAAGGCAGCCACGTGAGGAAGTGAGAGCATGAGCCTCAAATTTCGTTTCCCTGAAAGTAGGGACTTAGGGATATTTATGGGGTAGGTGGGCAAGGTGGTCTGAAATGGTGGAGAGAGGTGATTGGAGGTGAGGAGGGGTGAGGTAATTGATGATGTGCGCAGGCGTAGTCTGACTCCATGCCTCTTCATAGGACCCATGTTCACAAAATGGCAGCATTAGCATGATCTGAGGGTGGAGTTTTTAGCCTCTTGACGTCAAAAGGTCGCCTATTGGACATCTGCACGGGCCCAGTTGATGAGTTGGTGGTCTCAACAGGCCTGAAGTGGACAAGGGGCTCTAATTCCTGAAAAACAGCTCACACACCCATCACCATGGGGACCCAGGCTCCAGGGAGATGTTATCTAAGGAACCTAGTGGGAGTCTGATAGTGTATTGCCTAAACAGCACAGTTAACAATGCGTGAGTTAACAGCTAAAAGCTATAATCACTAATTGCAAAAAGGAAAAACGTTAGTTCCTAGCTACTTAATTATCAATGGCTAACTCCTTGCCCGTTTCAAGTGTATGCCACCTTGATCAAACCTACTTGGTCATACAATCCCTTTTTTCAAGGACCACCTATGAACATTTAGGAATGTGTGTTTTGTGGAACACGGTTTGAGAAAACTCAGGTGAGATTGTCTCCACGATTCCTTCCAGTTCTCAAAGACTGGTTTGGGGATTTAGCAGAACAATAAAACAGACGTAGCATTTAAAATAAGGATTTTTTAAAGTTTCATGATAGAGTTTGTTGATATAATAACATCCCCCAAAAGACTGCTGGGTCTGACCTCACTCTACACAGACAGAGGAGCAAGGAAAACCAATCCCCCAGTCATTCTCCAGCTTCAGCCCTCACTCACAACTCTAAGGAAGCAAAGAGACGCACCTCAAGCTTCCAAAGCCATTAGCATGTCCTTCAAAGAAAACTCCATCGAACTCAAAGATTCTTTTCCCGAAATTGCTAGACTACAATCAAGTTTTCACAGCAGAACACTTTGACCTTTAATACATCTTGACTGCAAACCAAAAG